GGAATCGAACCTGGGACCTTTCAGTCCGCAGGCCGACGCTCTATCCACTGAGCCAAACCGGTTTCGGCCCTTCAGCAAATTTGACATATGAAGTTTTGAAGCTTACTGTCAATACAAAATAGCATACATATCAAATCGCATATATATCAACATATGTGTAACTCCATCTATTGAAAAAAATCCGTATTAACCTGTACACCCCGTATATCCTGTAATGAAAAGGAAATCCTGCTTAGTGAATGATCCTTGTCTTTGAGGAACCTGCAATCTTTTGGGAGGGGGATGATAAAAGAAGTATTTGTCAAATACAAGTCTAAAGATACTAATCTGTACTCAATTGTATGATTGAGAATGTGAGTGCTATAGAGAAGAGAAGAGAGGAGGGATCACTGTACCCTTATCTAGCTAAGGGAAGTTTTATGGAGAATATGAGATTAAAGTTTATTATTAAAGGGTGAGTAGAAGTTGGAAACATAGCAGAGGAAATCTAGTAAGTTATTTCAGGTAGAGAAAAGAGTTTGAATAAACGAGTATTGGCCTTTGGAGAACAGGAAGAGGAGTGATTTTACATTGAGGAGGTGGTAGGGGGAAGAAGGAGAATAGGACTGGCTATGTCAGGTGACCTCATTAAGGTGATCCTAAATAAAAAACTTTATTGAAATGATCATCAAGAAATGTACTCTGTTAATATTATGTGGATTCTGATGCCAGTCTGAGGATTGTAGACCTCAACCTTCATGTAGCAAAGGGCCATTATTGAATTTGGAACAGAGAGTGTTATACAAGTCCTTTGTAAGTGTGGAACTACCACAGGGACATTTCTGGCATAGCCACAAATGGACTGTAGCAAATTTAAAAAATTTTAAGAATCTTTATGTCTTTACTTCAGAAATCATGTGCATTTTGCCATTCTTTATAATATTCACATCTGTTTTATTGTAAAAATTGTTTTAAGTTACTATTGAGTAAATTGACCAATCAAGATGGGTTTAGGATATCTAACCTGCTACATTTTAGCAGTACCTTATCTAAATCAGCTTTTTAAAAAATTCTCACCTGATGACAGGTACACTGATTTTTAGAGAGAGGAGAAGAGAGAGAGGGGAGGAGGGAGGAAAAGGAGGAGGAGAGAGAGAAAAACATTGATATGAGAAATAAACATTGGTCAGTTGCCTCCCTTACACACCCACAACCCAGGTGTGTGCCCTGACTGGGAATCAAACCCTTGACCTTTCGGTGTACAGGGCAGCACTCCAACCAACTGAGCTACACCAGCCAGTGTTTTAAGTCAACTTTTTAAGAACAGCAAATTGAATATAGTTGCACAGTAATTTCACTAGCTTTCTATCCCCCAAGAATTTAAAAAGCATAGTCATATGCCCTGGCCAGTGTGCCTCAGTTGGGTGGTTGGGTGTTCTCCCCTGCATCGAGAAGTCACCGGTTCCACTCCTGGTCAGGACACATGCTTGGGTTGCAGACTTGATCCCCAGGAGGCAGCCAATCAGTATTTCTCCCTCTCCCTTCCTCTTTCTCCAAAATCAATAGAAACATAAAAAGCATAGGCAACCCTTGGTTACATTATCATTTTAATGATGAGTTCTACCAGTATCTTATATAAAGTAGGTACTGGTCTTGAATGGAGGAATAGTTTTTTATATCATGAACTAAATATTAGTATTGAAACATATGATTTTTAAAAATGTAATATCAGCCGAAACCGGTTTGGCTCAGTGGATAGAGCGTCGGCCTGCGGACTCAAGGGTCCCAGGTTCGATTCCGGTCAGGGGCATGTACCTGGGTTGCGGGCACATCCCCAGTAGGAGGTGTGCAGGAGGCAGCTGATCGATGTTTCTCTCTCATCGATGTTTCTAACTCTCTATCTCTCTCCCTTCCTCTCTGTAAAAAATCAATAAAATATATTTAAAAAAAATAAAATAAAATAAAAATGTAATATCAGTTCAACAAATTTAAATTAATTGAAAGTCCTTGTTTACAGACTTGAAAGTTTTGGAATTAAATTTTTATTATTATTTTTGAATGTTGGAAACAAAAGGATTTAATAGGTTACAGTCAAATCAACATAAATCAAAATATGTGCCCATATTTTTGTAATAAGCTGAAGATAAAACAATCAACATTTATTGAATGCCTATTTTGTGCCAGATAACTGTGCTAGATGCAAGATAGAGGGAGGTTGGGGAGGGAGAGTTAAAGATAACACTTGTTTCCTGTCTTTAAGGGCCTCATATTTTCTAGGAGTGTTTCACATGTAAAATATAATTGCCACAAAAAACAATCTATATATATATATAAAAAGCCAGCGACCAGAACGTTGGAACGACTGGTCGCTATGTCGCCTCCCGTGGTCAGAGAACCAGCCGATTGGGGGTGGGGCTGGTCGTCCAACCTCCCCTAGCCCCTCTCCCCAGCTGGCCCAGGCCCTGATTGGCTGCTCGCACCCTGATCAAGGTCAGGGTGGCCAGCCTCCCCCTGTGGCCCTTCTCCTCCCTGACAGCCCTGCTCTCTATGGGCCCCCACCACCCTGATTGGCCCACAGCTGCTCCCCCCCCGCTGGCCC